TATTTCGATAAAATATTAAGGATTGTTATATGTAGAGATTATGGAACTTTAACAATTTTAATCACGAGCTGATCCTAGCCAAACCACTAATTAGGATCTGGAAGTGCTGGTCTGCCTTTCGTCCTAGTATGAGGCTCCTCAATATTACGCATGCGCGAACGCATATTCTTGATTTCGACTGTAAATGTATTCATTGACATTAGTAAATAAAACAAACTGACATCTGTCTAAAAATAACCAAAAAACAAGAATCATCGTAGCCCTGTTACATAAAGGCTCATCAACAAGTGGCTCCATAAACCTTCGTTATTTAACACATTCATAATTTGTAATACTAAGTTCTAACTGTCCTCTGCACAACTAATAAAACAACACCATATTGTAAAAGATTCTGTACAGTCGCATCTTCAGTTTAGGATCTAATTTCAATTATCTTAGACATACAAAAATACATCATACAGACTAGTTAATATTTGATATCTCCTCTATTGGCGTAATTTTGATGATGAGCTTAAACTGATTCAATTACAACCTTCGTCACTTTAAAATATAAATTTTGTTTGTCAAATTAAATATTCTTAAAATCGTCTATAATGGCGGCAAAATTATTTTTTTTTGTTGTTGTTGTCAAATTAAATTTAAACCACTTAGTTGCATTATAATTTAATTTTGATCAAAGTTATACCTCTAAATGAACATGTGATAAATCACATGGAAATAATATTTAAGTTAGATTGAAGTAGAACTATTCTAAAGTAAGTTAAAATGTGTAACTTATCATCTATTCAATATCATGAAACTTTTATGAAATGCAAAAGATGAACAATAAATATATAAAATAGTTGCTATGGAAACAATACGAGTCCATATCAAATTATATATAATAGTAAAATTATACAAACCATAATAATACTACTTTGATATTTGTTCAGTTATTTGATTAAATGATTGTTGTTTGTTTTCTGAAAAAATTTCTGGCTGCAAAATCTAAATGACGACAGTGTTTTGGAAACTATATATATATATATATATATATATATATATATATATATATGTCATCCATGTTATTTTTGTCTTAGAATGACTTACTTTAGGTGCAAAAATCTTAGTTTGTCTAATCATCTTCACTATACCAACAGCTTATTTGAAAGTTGATTGTCATAATAATATACAAATGTATATACTGTTCTTTTTGGAAACATACTGTTGATGATACTTTAAGATTGTTATTATATAATACAAATTGATGAACATAAACATGGAATGGGATTATATCACCTGTGTACAGCCGTATAGTTTAACAAGATACTGTTTATTTTGATCAATAAAGAAAATGTTTGGAATCAAGGGAAATTTTCTGTGTTATTGTTTTTAAAATAACAAAATGAATCTTTTTGTTATTGTTATTTTTATGGGTAGTTGATATAACTAAATAACTTTCTAATATCTGGTTATTGCTGATAGTTTCTTAATATCTGATAACTCTGATGATCATCAATTTATTATTGAACTTTAAGAAAGATTGACAGACGAAACATTATAGTTATTGAACTTCAATCCCTGAGAATCTTACATATGGGATTTCATTTAGAACATCTTCTTTGAAGTCAATAGTAATGTATTTTAGAAATGTTTGTTCAAATCTTAGTAAACATTCATATAAAAACTCTAGTAGATAACGACTTCAATAAACATTTATAACCTTAAATTGATTTTTATGGTAACTCTTTATACATTACCAGGTATGACTTCAGATTAGAAAGAAAATTCATTGCAGTATTATTATTTCTTCTGTTTGGTTAGAATTTGTGATTATCAATAAAAGCAAATGATTTACATTTAGTTATATAAACGTTTTATTTAGTCTATTCTTCAGTAAATTAGCTTTGCAGAAACAATTGTTAACCACTGTTTGTTTGTTGCTATCAATTTGACGATTTGCTTATACATCAACACTGAATGGAAAGCATTTTGTGATAGTTTGGAAAGTGAACTAATTCATGCTTTCCCATAAATTACAAATACATTGATTCTTACGGGTACCTGTCGGATGTTTCTTTATTAGAAAGCTATGTGGTCTCAGATATTTTAATGTTTCTGGATTTATAAATGGTGATTAATAGCTTCTGTTGAACACTTTGAAGTGACCAGTATATTTGGGAAAAAAACTTGATCAGAAAATCAAGATCGCATTGTTGAAGTAAAATTGTCAATTCAACTAATCCGGAGATAATTTGTTGATTTATGGTAATCCGTAAAGATTCCAATTATAGATTTCAATCATTGTATCCTAATTTAGTACCTAATTGGAACTGTATATGCAGCACAAGCTGTAGGTTCATCATTTGATACAATCCATTGTCAGCTAGAGAAAAAATTATCTCTGACTTATATGGAATTTCGGTAAAATACAATTTCTGTAAAATGCAATAAATTCAAGTTTTCACCTGCACATTCACTTATCACATATTTCTGGTGATCCATTTTATGTTTGAAACATTCCGGTAAATCCTACATTGATTCATAAACATTACACAAAGGACTTTTTCTTCCAATTGTCTAAACTAATATTTAACAGCAATGAATCGAGATTGTATATCACATAGGATCGAAAACAAGACTTTTTTGGATCAGCCTACCCAAATTACGAATGTCTGTTGTTGGGTAATAATTATACTGTTAAAATTAATGATTACTTTGAATAAAAAACGATGACTAAACAGTAGTTCATGTTCTTTGTTTTTGAGTATTTTGCCAAATGATGTTCATTTGAGACAAAAACGTTTTTTTATACAAACCACCCAGGTAAGTTACAATTATCCATTAATTGCAAACTGTATATATATAACGGATGTAAAATTAATTAAAACTATTCAGTCATTTTCTTACTACTTTACATTTAATAGTAATGTTTTGAAAGCTACATAATTATCCGAACTTCTGATGGATCCAATATCATGTATCACTGCATACATTTAAAAATATATTTTACAAGTAAGAACTATAAAGAGAAGCTGGAGGATGGATTTTCCAATTCGAGACAAAAAGGTTTCACCACAGTATCATATTGTATGTAATTTACTTAGAAGTTTTCTTTTCTGGTATCTTTGTTAAATTATTTGGTAACACACCAGTACTATTTATGTATGTTATCTAAATGTGAAAATTAATCACTGTGAATCCATACAGATAGCTTTGGTATAAAAACATATAACTACTGAATAATTAATTCTAAGATCTTTTTCCGAACATTGGTACATGAATTCACTTGGTATTGCTTTATTTATATCTTTCCATTGTTATTTAGGATTGTAATTGATCAGTTTACTGTTGGTATATGTGCATCCTGTAAGGATCGCCTCCATATAGCATTAAGTCACAAGCATTCTAAACAAAGATGGAGAGTGGGTAGCAGTGAAATTCAGGACGCGCGTTTTGCCTTATTTGTGACTCGTCAGCTGAACTTCGTGATTTTTACATTCATTTATATGATTAAATAAACAGAATGAATTCAAACATTAAACGTTGAATATTTTAAAAACAAGACTGTGAGGGTATTTTTTTCAGCAACACAATCATTTAGTAGATACTTTGGAAATTTAACCTTTTCTACATAAAGATCACCTAGCATTTAGACTAATTTCCATTTTTACTTTTCACGCTAATTTGAGGAATATTTAGTATGATTTATTCAAAATACAAAGAAATAGTTTGTGGAAAATTATAAAAGTACACTGAATAAGAAGTTGAAATTTTAAAGATAATTTGTAGTGAATAAGTTTTGAAGCTATAAGATTACATAACATCAAATTTCATAGTTTAAATGAATCGTTTATTAATAGATTTGTTATTAACGTATTCACTTTTAATAGGAAGAAGACGAAACTAACGGTAGACTACATGGGTACAGTATTTAATTTATTGATAAATAGCTTACCAATTAAAACAATCTAGCTCAATGAATATAGAATAACAAACCTATTAAACTAAACCATAAATCTTTATGATTTTTTGAAAAAAATAACTGTACAGATTGGACGCATCAAGTTGTGTAAGAAACCCACATGTCGATGTAATGAAATTTAATCGATAGAACAAAATCATCTAGAAACGATATGACTATTATGATACTGTCAATAATGAAACCATATAAATCAAGAAATTTGAATGTGTAACAAAAAAATATGACATCATAAGAAACAGAGTAAAGATATATACAAAAATAACTTTATTTCAATAATTGAGATCACGGGTCAATTGAAGCTAGATCACCATGGAAAACCTGGAAGCACTGGACGGCCGTTTCGTCCTATTGCTGGACTCCACAGCAGTACACATCCACGACTCCGCCTCGCGGGATCCGAACCCAGGACCTATCAATCTTGGTCTAGCTTTAACTGACGCATGATCTCAACTATTGAAATGACTACAATCTCCATAAAACCCCTTCTGGTACTAATAACTTTATTCTTTAAAGATTTCACCATGTAGCCAGTAATACTTATTGTATTTGACAAGAAATTACCTTTTTCTGAACTTTAGAAAGCTAAATGTCTAAATACTTACATTACAAACTAATTATAATTTGGTTTGTTTGAGTTCATACTGATGATTTATTTATACTGATCAGGCAAAAATTATACATTCTCTCATTTCTTACATACTTTTCATAGTTTTCTTCTATTGATGAGAACTCATAACCTTAAGGTATATTTGATTTTAAGTGTTTCCTAAGTAGCTAGTTAAAGAGTAAAATCCTTGTCAGATACTTTATCGAGAAATTCGAAACAGATAAATACGGCTCGTCTTAAATATTTCATATTTTCTTTACGTAGTTTATTAATAGTGCCAAAGACTTTTTAACGTATTCCCATTAAACCAGTTTTCAAAGAACATTAAACCTACTAACATTCATAATTTCATTTGATGTACATTATAAAATTGAATTCAAAGAAAGCAGAGCCCATTACAAATATACAATAAATAAAAAATTCACCTACCAATTGTTGTGATTACAGTTATGGCATAAAGGACAGAACCAGCAAAGGACCATTTTAAATCTTCCATTGAATCATTACCATTCCAACCATCAGTTTCGATGAAATCAACAACACGTTTAGTGAACTCCATAAGTGCTATTTGTACACGACCACGTAATAATAAAACAAATTGAGCTTTTAATGAGTATTCACCTCGTATATTGTCTAATTCCAATTCGTTTACTGTATTGGTTACATTTTTATAATATAATCCTACTGAATTCTTTGGTGTATTCAGTTTACTTAAGTTATTGAAATAATTTGTTTTCATCGAAGTATTCAAGTTGATATTTTCAAAATTATTAAATGTACTTCTATTAATCAAGTCAGTAGTATTTAAAATTTCCGTATTGTTTTCATGATTTATATCTCTATAATCCAAGTTGTCTGTTATATTTTCCACAGAATACGTTTTTTTCTTTGGCTTTTCTTTTTCCAAAAAATCAATGACAAATTCTAAAAATGCTATAGTATCATTATATGTTTGCCGTTGTTTTGCTAAATAACTGTGTAGTTCACCAAATACAAGTTGAAGAAATTCATTTGAAGAATCAATTCTATATTCATAAGCTAATGTTTTAACTTCTTTCTCTTTTCCACGTTCAATACCACCAAATAATAGACCACCTACAATTGTATAAGCAATAACTAAACCAGATAATCCAATATGTGAAAAAAGCATTGCTATAAATCTTTTAATACCAGATTTAATCTCTTGTAATTTACGTCTACGACGTTCTTGTTTACGTAAACGCATACGTTCTTCACGTGATAATATAGTAGTCGTTTTTGGACTGAATGGTTGAGGTGTTGTCATTGGAATAGGTGAAAATATATGAGGAGTATTGAAATCTTGTTGAAAAATCATTTTGTTTTCGTACAATAATATTTTAAATTTCTCAAATTGTAACTTTAAAAGACAAAGAAAAACTATTGCATTATATCAACAAATTCATTTCAGCAAGTTAGTTCTTAGATTTTCACTATGATTCAAATGTAAATAAATGAATCATTTCATTCATGTTATGTCTCATTCATAAAGTTTTCATTCATTATTTCCATTATATTTTTGTATGAATATATATCATTAGATTCTAATGTCAAGTCATCTACATATTTGTCTACACTATTAATTCTTTTTTGTTCTCAAAATGTTACTTATCAATGAATAGATTATTTAAGAAATGTTTATTATACATTTTATATAATAAACCATATAAATCCAGGTTAAAATGACATAATTGAAATCATTGAACATTTTCAACCAATAGAATTTCGATTAGATTGGGATGATAATAACCAATCAAATTTTAATGTTATTTTAATCATATATTATTTTTAATTTAAGATCATCTGTTCATTCTATTTATTTACAATGAGTTTTTATCCAGAATTATTACAAATTATTATTATTATTATTATTATTATTATTATTGAATTATGAACCATTTTGTTCATCTGTCTATCATAAACAACAACAACAAAAAAAACATTTATTGATTAAGAATAATAAAATTGATTTCATTTACTGATCATCTTATATCGATTTATTTCATAGCAACAATTATTTATTCTAATTGTTTTATGTAAGAATAGTTCGTTCTGTTTTCTCACCAAGATTTCCTTACAAATTATTTTCCAGGAAGTTTTTGAAGTCATTTCATGAAATCTATTTATTTAGTGAAAAATATACCATTTTATTGAATTGTTCTTTGTTGTAAATGAATGGAAAAAAAAATTAATTAAGAAATTGAAATATAATTCCCATTTAAACATTAAAATTAAAACACGAAGTTCAGTGAGGGGGTCTCTTTTCAATGAATTTATTATCAAGCTGTACAATCGTATATATACGAAAATTTTGTTTGTTTTTTTTGTAACAGTACTAATTCCGTCAGGAAATGTGAACACAGTTACGTAATATGTAATCTAGTATTATAACCTTTTTTATTATGTCATGGTTAACTGTGTTCACATTTCCTCACGGAATTAGTACTTTTACAAAAAACAAAGTTTTCATGTATATACCATTGTAGAGCTTGATAATAAATTCGTTGAAAAGAGATCCCTTCGCTGAACTTCGTGTTTTAATTAAGAAATTACAACTATTATAGACTGAAAATTCATTTAAATGTAAACTGTATGAATACAATTTTTGATTACTTACTTACTTACGCCTGTTGCTCCTCGTGAAGGAACATAGACCGCTCACCAGCATTCGCCATCCAACTCTGTCCTGGGTAATCCTTTCCAGCTCCTTCCAGTTCTTATTCATCCTTTTCATATCTGCTTCTATTTCCCGACGTAATGTGTTCTTTGGCCTTCCTCTCTTCCGCTTCCTTTTAAGATCTCAAGTTGGCACTTGCCTCGTGATGCAGATTGATGATTTGCGTAATGTATGTTCTATCCATTTCCATCCTTTCTTCCTAATTTCTCCTTCAGCTGGAAGCTGGTTTGTTCTTTCCCAGAGAAGGCTGTTGCTGATGGTATCCGGCCAATGGATGTTGAATATCTTGCGTAGACAATTATTTATACATACTTGTTAGAGATAGCTTAATAAAAAATATATTATAACAATAAATTCTTTTATGAAGCCGCTTAAAGGGAAATGAATTTCATTTTTTTAAAAAAAAGAACAAACAATATTCATCGTGCAAAACAAAACAAAAATTGTTCTAATATTAAAACAAAACAAATCATTCAAGAACTAACCACATGTAAACATTTACAGTCTGTTAATATACATTTGGTCTTCCTTATAATGAATAAATATGAAAATCCTATTATGAACATGATAATCTTTATAATATTTGTATATAATACCATTTGTTTTATATATATATATATTTAATAAATAATGAATTCAAACAAAAACAACATTTTGTAGCCAGATAATTCAAATGATAGAAAAGACTGAAAATAATAGTTTATAATTAATAAAAAGTGCATGTAGGATTTAATGAAAATGATTCATTTATTTTTTACAATTAAAGAAATAATGAATACTTAAGCAATAATCCATCAGCTAATATCTTTTCAGATTGTAATAGTCATAATGATTGATTATTACGTTGTTATATAGGTTATATTGCTTATTCTTTTTGGTGGTGTTTTGTTCTTTGAGCTGGATGGTTTGGTCGTGGAGCTTTCATCGTTCTTCTGAACGACATCATCAGCACAAACTTCAGATAGAAGTGAAGTGTTCTCCACCATCTCAACATTGCTTATTCATTAGAAATGAATTAATTCAAGTGATTGCTTTGTAATTCATGAATTATATCATTCAAAACGTCTTGAGATTTTAATTTTTTTTTTAAGGATAAATCAATTAATATTAGAAAGGGTTTTGTGGAGATTGTAATAATTTTAATAGTTGTGATCATAAGTCAATTGAACCTAGACCATTATGGAAAACCTGGACGTACTGGACCGCCGTTTCGTCCTACTGTGGAACTTCCCAGCACTGCACATCCACGACCTCGCCTCTTGGGATTCGAACCCAGGACCTGTCAGCCTCGCGCATGAGCACTTGACCACTAGACCACTGAGCCGGCATTTAACAGCATTAATGTCTAACTTCAACTAATCCACGAAGTTGAGTGACACATCCACCATTGTCTTCAGTGAGTTACTACCTCATAACTGAAGGGTCTCACAATAGGACGAAACAGCCGTCCAGTGCCTCTTGGTTTTCCATGGTGGTCTAGCTCTATTTGACTCATGAATTCAACTAGTGAAATAAATCAATTAACAGAATCACAATTTTTTAATAATCACAATGAATATTCAGTCAAAATATAATGCGTTTCCTTAAAATTAGTTAAGTTCACGCTTTTGTTTTTGAAACAGTAACCAACTATTCGTTTTTCTTATGAATAAAAATTCTTTCTGTTTTTCTTGACTATGTACCAACCTATACTGTGTGAATAAAGTATCTCAATACAACTTAACTTATTATAAACAACATCTGATTATCAAAATCTGGTAATTTATATATTCTTTTATACTGCAAAACACATGTAGATTGAAAATATCGTCCAAATGACCGTCAATAATTTTGACGCATAACATTGTATTGAAATGAATTCCAAATTGTGTAGTGTCTTAGTCAGTCAGTCAGTCAGTAACAACATAGAACTTCGTACGTACGCACATCAGTTTGAGTTGCCACACCACATTAGCGCAGAAATGTAGTTGTCGATTCGAATCTCGTAGTGGCAGAGGCGGTAAGAGTATAAGATTAGGGTTTGGAGATATTATTCAAGGAGTATAATACAGTGAAATAAATTTGGGAAGAGAAAAAAAAGAGACAAGGAGGAATAAGGAGATCAAAATTCGGGAGAACAGAGAGAGTGGATGCACCTGCGCCATTGCAAACGATTTTGAGCCATGTCATTAAAGGTCTCTAACCATCGGTTGCTATCATCTCGTGGTCCCCAACCAGGTAGTCTACACCTACCAACATGACTTGGTGCACTTGTCAGTGACTCCATGGATTTGTGCCATGTTTTGGTTTGGCCGCCCCTAGCTTTTTTCCAACCTAGTGCTACCCCACAGAACATCGCACGTCAGGGCAGTCGGTCATTGGGCATACGTAACACGTTCCAGCCATCTCAACTGATGAAGTTTCACTACTTCATCAATTGATCTGCTATCCTTACCTAGTACCCGTTTCTTAACAGCTGAATTACTTACTCGATGGTCCCAGGATATACGAGCAATATTTCGAAGACACCTATGATCAAATACTAGTGACCTACGAGTATCCTGTGCTCTTACCGGCTATGTTTCACTGCCATAAAGTAAGACGGAACGAACTGCTGCTCAGTAAACACGTCCTTTGGTTTATAGACGGATATCTCGCCTACGCCATAAATGACGCAAGTTAGTAAAAGCTAGTCGAGCCTTTTGTATCCGTGCCGAGATTTCGTCACACACCAGACCACAAGGGCTGATGAGACTTCCGAGATAAGTGAAGCGGTCTACACACTCAACTACTTCACTCCCTATCACTAGTTCGGGTGTCAATGTAACCCAATCCTGAAACAACATTTTGCATTTCAAGGGGGAGAATCGCATCTTGAACATGCTTGCTGTGTAATGTTTATCTTAATGTGTTTTTTAACAGACTACGAAAATTTATGTTTTGGAAATTATACATCATCACGATAAAAGCTCATTCGTCCTTATTGGGTGTTTCAAGTCTTTCCATGTTAAAATTCATAAAATAAAATTTTCAAAAAAAGTTATTTTTAACCATTCAAATCAAATCTATCATTCTCTATTGCAATGAATAGGTAATAATGTTCATCAATCAAGGGAAGAAACAATTTGAAGAAAAATCTTTTACTAAATTGATTAAAAAAAAATTTATTTTTCAGTACTCTACAAATGTCATTCATTTGTCGTTACTTGTATGCATTTGTTTATTATATCCTATTTTATACACTAACAAGTTAATTGTTTTTATATAGTTATAATGGTTTTACTGATGTTGTTCATAAACCATTGAATGATTAATTATGGTTAGAATGAGAATGAAGTTATTTGTGTTTTAACTCTGTCATTTACAACTTATAAAAAGTTCATCATTCGTTATGATCGGTTTCATAAGCCACTTTGATTTTTACTAGTACGTTTATTCTTCTGTACAGGAGGTGTCTATTAAAATTTGACTACCGTTAGTTAGGATTTATTCTTAAGATTTGCATTCTTTACTTATTCTTCAAACTGTACAAAGGACTTCAAATGCAATTGTAAAACGTAATATAAGAAATAAGCTTTAACAGCATTGTTAAAATTATGAATCAATAGATTGTATTCAAAAATATTTGATGGGAATCATGGAATGTTCATACTGATTTCAAACGTTTTAAAGTCATTTCAATAGTTGAATTCACGAATTGACCCACGCTAGATCACGGTTGAAAGTTTGGGAGCACTGTACGGCCAACTCCTCAGCAGTCAGTCATACATACTTCTTTAGGAGTATCACTCGTAAATTAGACAAGATGTAAGCAACCCCTAAAAAATGTCGTTTCTACAGTTTGTTAGATACGATAAATATTCGTCACTTTCGTTTTTGAACTATTCAGGTAGAAGTAAATCTGAAATTAATGAATTAACATGGAAAACATTAAAAATTTGTTTCTTCTCATTTGTTTACTGTAACCTCAGCTTTCCCTTT